TATGCAACTTACGTATACCTTCCGCAGTTGCCCATACGACCTTAAATGGCAGGCAGCACTTTCACACCAAACTACCACACGATTCACCAAAATGAAGCACACAAGTGAAGGCCCACAAATATTTTATTGTGGTGTAGCTCTGTGGTGCGCCCGTAACCAACGTTCTGACAAGACACGGCGGGACAAAAAAACAAAATTAACAATAAAAAGAGGTCGTCCGCACAGTGCAAGATAGACCGTCGGTTCTTCCAGTATTCTTTTCTTTACATAAAACTTCATCTCCTAGTGTTAAAAAAAAAAACTCAAGGCAGGCCAACGGAGCGACGAGAACTGGTCAGTAAGAAGCGCATTGTTAGGCTTGTTGACGATTATAACTTGTCGAAGTACTGATCCAGGTCTGGCAGAGAGTCCTTGAGTCCTTTGCGCTTGCGGGTCTCCATGACAACGTTGTAGGGGCGGGACTTGCCGTCCAGGGGGTCACCGGGCAGGATCTGCCAATGGTCGAACACACACTGCGGGAAGGCTTGGCCTCCAGTGTTGGAACGCAGGTCAGCCGTGAATCCTGCAACAACTCACATTAAGTTCCCTTTGCACATAACCGGTCCCCTACTTTTGCTATCTCATTCAAAACACTTTACAACACAATGTGCTGTTTTTACACTGCAAATAGCTGAAACATCAAGGAATTTCACAAAACTTCAGAAACATAATTAAAGCTGCGGTACACCTTATTACAAGAGTCTTATTTACGATATGCTGACAATTTCAGCCAAAGCAGTGCTGTGATAAGTTACCCAAGACATTGCTTAAAAATTCAGGAATCATTCCTGAATTTAATTTCATAAAGAGCTGTTTTGCCAAGGTAGATGTACTTTAACAGCGACAACGTTAAGGGACGTACCGAATGACTCGTTGACTGGCAGATAGGCTTTGACCACGAACATGGGTGTGCCAGCAACCTGGGACTCCTCAAAGACATGACCTCGACGCCTGTTCAGCACTCCGTAGATGCCACCCACGGCGTTTTCTGGACACTGAATCTCCACCAGGTACACTGGTTCCATAAGCCTAGGCGACGCAGTCAACATGCAGGCATACAGGCACCTTCGAGCCGTTGGGATGATCTGACCGCCACCCCTGTGGATAGCATCAGCGTGCAGGGTGACATCGTGAATGTTGAACCGTACACCCCTCATGTTTTCTTCACAGAGTACAGACTCCTTGGTGGCCCACTGGAAACCAGCAACAACAGAGTCCTTGATTTCATTCAGATACTGCACACCCTTAGTGACATCCACAAGCAGGTTGGGGCCTGTGCCTTCAGGTCCAAATGCCCAGATCTTACGGGCCTCTGTGGCATCCCATTCATACTTGTCAGACAGGTAGCGGGCACGAATCTTGAAGTCATCCCGTGGGTTCACTTGACCCTGTCAAAATAAAAAAAAGCGATGAACACATTAAAACATGTACTGACATACTCTGCTCAGCCAACAAATGCTAAGCAGCTACTGGAAATCAGTTCACAAAGCTTTCTGATGGCAACACCTAGGAGTTTTACCATTTTTTTATGCACAAAGAAAAATGAATTACTTCTGAATGCAATAAAGCAAACTATATTCAATAAGTAGGATTTGTAAGTCCAGCACTTGTCCTGTGCAAGTCCAGCGCTTGTCCTGCGTGGTATTTTTTTAACCGTCTTAGTGTGGTTTTTCGCTGGTTTCATCTTCCCATCACTATAAACCAATTAGTCCAGAAAGAGATGGTACTGAACGTCTCGTCAAAGGAAATTGTGAACAGAAACTACGACATTTACTCTCGTAATTCCTAAAAAAAAAAATGTCCTTTAAAAAAGAATTTTAAAAAAAATCTGTTAATTTTAGTGTAACCAGTGCCATTGGCGATCGAAACATTAAATCACGCCATTATATCACAAAATAATGATGCAATAAATGCCGATACGGTTGCAAGCAGCGCAGACGACTTCAATCATAATTTAAGTCGTGCCTTTCACACGAATTATGCAGACACGAGCTAGATTATTAAAATTACATGAGAACATGTCTAGTGACAGCCTTGTTGGGTTCTTCGAGGATGGGACCTGTTCATTTCGTTCCCAAGGGGGTTAAACGACAAACAGGCACCGAAGGCAGAACCCTGATCAATGTCCCTCTGTAAACATTCGATCTTCTCCAGTCAGGAGAGAAGATTGCCAAGACAGAGGCCTTACTAAAAAAAAAAAACTGTAGTCACTGTTACTTATGCATTAGAATTGATAACATTGCATTGCAAGTCCCCAAGCCTTAAATCAAGCAAAAATGTGTCGCTTGTAACTAAATTATATCGACTGCATTATTGCAGCTCAGGTAGACATGATACATGCCTTGTCAATGTCCTCTGGAAGTCCATCAGGTAGTGGGCAAGCCTTCATAAATAGACGGTTGTGCTTGTTGGGCGACTTGGAGAGACACATGATGCTAGATTCATCCTGGACAGACTCCCTGTACGAGACCACAGGGTCGGTTTTCTTGAGCGGGATACCGGCATGATCTTCCTCCAAATCCTTGAGGCAGATTTCAAGGTGCAGCTCACCAGCACCGGCTACAATGTGCTCTCCAGACTCTTCAATGATACACTGCACCATAGGGTCTGACTTGGCGAGACGCTTCAAGCCTTCCACAAGCTTGGGCAGGTCTGAGGCATTCTGGGGCTCCACTGCTACACGCACTACAGGGCTCACAGAGAACTTCATGACACGCATGTTGTGCGCATCCTTGAAGGTACTGATGGTGCCAGTCTTCACCAGGAACTGGTCGACACCCACCAGACCACAGATGTTGCCGCAGGGCACATCTTCAATGGGCTCCACGTAACGGCCCATCATCAGAACGGTCCTGAAGGAGAAAAATTCAACAGGCGATATGATAAAAATTTTAATTGCGTTTTGAAGCACCAGAAAGACATTTGAAACAAGCCAGCCTCTCAAAAGGCATAGTTTAGCACCCATGTAAATTTCGAAAATAACCTAATGAATGAGCAGATTTTACCTAGATTTTGCCACTATATTATGACACCTCAAAGAAACCTGCAGTCAAATAGAGAATGCCTATTTTCGTTCAGTGATGGCTTGATAGCCAAATCACCTAATCCACGTTGCCAAGTTATAGGCAATGCTATGGGCGAACTTGTGCACAAATTTGGAAGAGGCAATTGCAATGAAACTACATACTGAACTTTAGAAGGTACCGTAATTACTCGAATCTAACGCGCACCTTTTTTCCGGTTAAGCGAGTTCATAAATCGCATGCGCGTTAGAATCGAGTACGAACAAAAAAATTACGGTCAATCTATTGCCATCGCAAATCCAAAATGCCGCCCCCTACGTGCGTCGGCTATTTCTGCCTATGTGTTTACCATGTGCGGCACTTCGTACGTGTGCTGAGGAGTTCGTCGTCTAGTAGTGCATTAGCATCGACGACGTGGAAGGGCCGACTCCAAAAACTCGAGTGCACCACGATGCCGCTTTTAAAAGAAAAGTCATCGCGTGTGCAGAAACGGACGGAAATCGGGCCGCATCGCGGTCCTTCTCGAAACGTGCGTGCGGGTCCGGCGGAAACAAAAGCAGAAGATTGTCGACAGCAAAGCTTCACGCAAAGGCTTCAGTGAACAACAGCAGGGTCGGTTTCCGCAAATTGAAGAGCTGCTCTGCGAGTATGTGCTTGAGGAGCGAGCGGCACAGCGGCCCACGACGACAGAACTGCTCCAAGTGCGGGCTATGCAATTAGTCTTAGAAAAAAGTCTAATGCGGAGCCTGTTTAAAGCGAGCAGGTGCTGGCTAATTAACTATATGAAGAGGAAAGGCTCTTCCCTCCGAAAGGGAACATGCATATGCGAAAACTTTTGCGGAGAAGTACGATGAAAATCTTTACAGTTTTCAGAGGTTCGTCCTAAACTTGCGGCGCAACAACGGCTACCTGCTTGGGCAAATCTGGAATGCCGATCAGACGCCGTTCTACTTTGACATGCCTGGCACCACAACTGTAGAGAAGAAGGGGGCGAAGCAAGTTCGCGTGCTGACATCGGTCCACGGTAAAACTACAGTGACGGCAATGCTCTGTTGCACGTCAGATGGGCACAAGCTTCGCCCGTACCTCATATATAAATGGAAGACAATCCCGAAAGGAGTCGTTTTTTCGAGTGGTGTGATCGTGCAGGCCAACGAGAAAAAATGGGTGCGCGTTGCAATCGATGTCTTACGTTTTTTTTTTTTTTCGCAGTGGAAATCGGGTGCGCGTTACAATCGAGGGTGCAGTAGAATCGAGTAAATACGGTAACTTGCAGTCATGTCTTATTACATCCACTAAGACAAGAGATGAAGGCTTCTAACACAACAGCAACAGTTCTGCAGGCATAGATTACAGGGCTTTTAAATGCTTTATTTACTCGCATATTGAACCCATCCCTCACCTTTGTCTTCGGGGAAAAAAAAAATCTTTTTATTGTATCTGTTCATGTTAGCCAGTGCCATTGACCATTGAAATGTTAAATCAAGCCATTATATCGCAAAATAACGCAATAAAAGTCAAAACAGTTTTGCAACCGCACTAACCAGTTGCGAGCAGCGCGTTTTGACACTTCTGCGTCGATTCGTACGCTTTCAATACGGGAGGAAACAAAAAGAGCTGGCTACAAAAAGATTTGTCGCGCATCTCGCGGGCCTAAACAAGCAAAGCCATCACGAGAAGTTTGCGTTGTTATAACTCTTCCATGGCTTTTTTTTTTCTTCAGTGTAATAAACCCTTTCCCAAATTGGCATAGACTTTCATGAAAAAAAAAAAAAAAGTGGGTTCACTACACGAGTAAATATGATATTCAAGAATAATGGGCACGCCAACCTTCATAAAAATGGCAATGCAACAAATGTTTCTACTCATAAAGACTGCTTTATGTTGTCCAGGAAAGCAATGCACAGAAAAAAAAGCAGTGGAGCCGGTGCAACAGGTAGTTGTAGGGCCCAGTGAGGATGGAACCTGCTCGGTCCATTCCCAAGGGGGCTAATGGGGAGCAGGCACCGAAGGCATTAGACCCAACACATCCTTTTATGTCACCTCTGTAAGCATTCGGAACTTCTGTGTGACGACAAGAAGACCCGCCAAGAACGAGGTGGATGAAAAACATTTTGCAAGGAGACCTTTACAACAAGGTTTCCCTCTGCTGCTTTGTGCTGATTAGCACAAATTTTACAGTAGATCATTATTCTCTGAAGCCTCTCACCATACCTGCACTATGTATCCAAGAGCAGGCTGTGCATTTAAGCTCTGATGATAAGTGAAGGCCTGCTATTCAACTGTAAGCAATATTAGAAGGAACACTGAAAGTACTTATTTAAAAATTATAGCAGCTCGCAACACAATTGCCAGCTGCTATAATTTTTAAATGGATAATTTCAGTGTTCCGCTGCCGCTAGCAATGCAAGTGCAATAGTGCATTAATATTTAAATGGGTAAGCTATAATCTTTAAAAGGTAATTTCAGTGTTCCGCAGCCACTGGCAATGCAAGTGCAATAGTGTTATTAAAAATGAATACTCAAGTGAAAATCTTGCACCCACGCTTCACATGTCTCGTCAATATCGGTAAACACGCATTCGATGTTTCCTCATACTGCTCATGACAGCACTTCCGAAATAATCTCTCGCTTCTGCAACGTTGCGACCACTCACCTCTGAATGGCCTTCTCAGCCAAGTCCTCCTTCTTGCCAGGAGTGTAGTTTGGACCCATGATGCGGACTTTCTGTCCCGATGACACGACACCAGAAAAGACGCGACCAAATGCATAGAAGCGGCCCTTGTCGGATGTGGGTACCATCTTGGAGACGTACATCATCAGTGGGCCCTCGGGGTCACATGCCTTTACAGCGACGGCAGCCTCATCGTCCTGAGGACCTTCGTAGAGGATCTCCATACGGTAGCGCTGCGCAGTCACAGGAGACGGAAGGTGGATCGTGATCATCTCGAAGAGCGCATCTCCAGCGGGAAGCCACGTCCTCATGACCACCTTCAGCAAGTTCTTGCCTGCATAGATGCCACAAAACAATTCGTAACCACCTATTCCTACATCGTAGCAACATAAAAGTGCAACCCCCTGCCTTTGAAAGGGACAATTAAACGACACGGTTCTGATCTAGCGTAGTAATACCATATGGGCCAAACATGCCTTGATGGCCTTACAACAGTCCAATAATGTTAAACAATGCAGGTGGTGCTCTCACAATTTTTGGGCAGGCAGTTATCTATGCCTAAAATTCAGTGCTCAGTATCGAGCACAACATTGCTTCTGCATCAAGGGTTACTTTAAAAACAAAATGCACTCACCATCCTTGTCCTTGTCGTCGCCCTTGAGAACAATGTTCAGCTTCTCCAGGAGGCGGGCAGTTTCTTCCTTCTTGTAGTTCATGATGGCATCAAAGATCTTGTAGATTGGGTCCAAAATGAACATGGTGAAAGCACGCTTGTAGTCCTCATCGGGCTTCTTGGCCCATTTCTTGGTCTTAGGGTTGTAGAAGTTCTCTCCCCACAGCCGGCTCATCAGCTTGTCTACATCAATCTTGAACTTCTCTGCATAGATTTCAGCAAACTGCTTCAGTGTGAAAGCCCAGCCGTGCAGACCTGAGCCAAAGCCAACGTTGCCCTTAGACGGTTCCACCTGTAGAATACAATTGAACAAGCATATTAGTTTAACAAGCAGTTACATAGATACATCAAATACTACGCAACAGTGCTGAAGATTCAGGGGGGGAAACTTCCGGCAAGAGATGTCAAGAACAGTACATAAGTGTAATGCACTAATACATATTAGTTCACACTCCATCATACTGACAGATATAGGAAAGAAACAATGTTGTAAAATCAAGAACGATTCTACAACAAGAGCCCTCGAAACTAGCTAAATTCATGTGCCGGGAACAAGCAGAGAATTTGGAGAAATTTTAGAAAAAGATTCTCCCTAGACTCACAATTTACTCTAATGTAACAGAGGGATTCTTCCAAGCGAGTGCTTTTTGGTGTGTAATCGTCCTCCACGTAATGCAGCTTGCCCTTCTGCTAGAGTTTAATGGAAACTGCTTTCTGTTCGTTTCTTCAGGCAGCTTTACTTCAGTGAGAACATATGAGCACAGGCAAGTTTTTGCGAGAAATTTCACCAGCAAAAAAAAAAAAAAAAAAGCTAGCAAGGCTTCAACACTGCTGAAAATCTCACATCCCACAATACAGCAATTGTGCGTGCTGAAAATAAGGACTCGCTCGCTGGATTCCGTGCCGACCGGTTATGCCCTCGCGATCTCCGACGTCAGCCTAGCTCTGGCCGACTGGGCTCGCCCTACGTCATCTCCCGACGCCGACAAGAGCTCTCCCAAGTGGTACCCCGTCCTCGGACTCCTGTGACCGTGTTTGCATCTTTCCTATCTCTCCTATCCCCTCAATTTGTCCTTGCTCTCTCTGGCTTACCACCTCACGCCTTTTTCACTCCATCTACACTTTATTCCTACTCTTTTAAATCCCTCCTCCCCCCATCCCTTGTGAGCTACTGTTGAGGTGTCGCTCGCTGAAGCAGACCGTTACAGGGCTCATTTTTCTCTTCCTTTCTCTCTCTTAGAACCACTTTGTGTGCTGAAAATAATAGAAACCTGCTAGATTTAGTGGAAAAAGTGGCAACACTAGACAGAACACAAGCAAACATAAGTACAACTGGGATCGTGTGAAATGCATAGGCTAATGAGCAACTTATTTCAACACACCTTGATGTCTCCCATTGGGCCAGTCTCATCACCATAGGTGGCAATGATTACGTTGGTGTTCTCGACCGTGCGCTGGAAAGTCTGGTACAGGTCCTCAGGCTGCAACTGCAGAGTGAGCAATGCAAGGTCCATCTTGTTCATGAAGAGCACAGGCTTTATACGTTCAGCAATGGCCTGTCGGAGCACAGTCTCAGTCTGGACGCAGACACCTGGAAAAAATGCCATACATATGCACACAAAGCAAGGCACCTCACAAAAAAGTCCCTCTCAAGCTAAAGAGTAGTGACTGAAAATAGCCGTTAGGTGTGTTGTATGATGCCCCATCACTTGGCATGTCACTACAAATACATAGTGTGTTGTAATGTAGCTGCCCAACCCCTCTAGCCTTTCGTGATACTCACCACTGACACAGTCCACAACAACCAGAGCACCATCGGTGACACGGAGGGCTGCAGTCACTTCTGAGGAGAAGTCAACGTGGCCTGGGGAATCAATCAGGTTGATGAGGAAACCCCTCTCGCCCTTCTCACGCTGGTTATCCTCCTTAATAAAAATCAGATCCTTGTCAGCCAACTCGAAGTACATGGACACCGCCCTGGCAAAAGAAAAGAACCAAAGGTAAAAGAGCTATTCTATAAAACGCACATGTCTACTAGCAAAACCGATCACATTCAGACTAGCATTGCAGAAGTGTTTTGACATTATTTTATTTTCTATGTAGAGCTTTCATAACATTATTCATCAAGAGCCAATGATGCATATGATTACACTCCAGCTCTCCCCGCCCCAGCTTTGATAACCTCCCCTCCGTTGATGCCCTTTTGGTGCCTCAGATAGCCTGAACTACTCACTTTATTACAAGCTTAGGTTATTTTTCAGTGCAACCGGCTGTGTGAAAAGTGAGTTGTGCTACTGAAGGCTCATTAGTTTACCACCTGTAACCTACCTGCTAAACACCTTCGGGCAATGAGCAATAATCCTTGAATAACGAATCTCAAGTAGACTCCTCCAATACTTTTACACATTAGCTCGTCGCCACTTACGTAGACTTGATGGTGATGCAGCGTTCCTGCTCGTCCTTGCGAGTATCTGTGAACCGCATTTCACCAGCTTTGGCAGCGGCGATAATGCCAGCCTTGGACACAAGAGAGTCTGTGAGTGTTGACTTGCCATGATCGACGTGAGCTATAACGGACATGTTCCGGATATTTTTTTTCTTGTTCATCAGCCCACGGATCTCGTCCACCGTGAAGTTCACCTGCAAGTCGGAACGGTCATAAGCACAAGGGCTGCTAAGAAAGAGAACTTGACGAACAATGAATGAAAACTGTATCAGTATTGTGAAACCATTTGTCACGGGAGTATTTCTATGTCATGAAAAAGGATTTGCATAATTAAAATTTAAGTACTAATAAAAACACTGCCTCAGAAAGGAATGACCAAAGCTTTATGAAACCACCTGTTACGGGAGTATTTTAAAATGACTGATTTGTAGCATTAAAATTTAAGTGCGAATAAAGTCATGACCATGAAAAAAAAAAATTGCCAGTTTTTTTGGGCGGGAGGGGGCACTCAGAAACATTGTCCCAAAACAACCTATTCCACATGGGACTTATCCGCAGCACATATTTTCAAGTGAATGTGGCAGCACTGACTTTTTCCATCTCAGCAATGTACCTTTATTTATGCCGACTCACTTATAATTTGCGTAACGAACGTGAAATGCCAAGAATGCCACAAAAGCTGTCAGTGGCGGAATTTTCAGCGCTGGCTTCGACAGCACCTCAAACGCGCGACCAACCTCGTTTATCTCTCCTGCAGCTTTCCCAGACATGTCTGATCTTATCTCTTCGAGCCTTTCAGCACTTTCGGAACTTCGACCGGGCCCACTTACTTTGCCGATGATCAGCCCAACACACATCGCCATGGTCAAGCGAAGTGGCGCAGCACGACACGGCAAGTTTCAAAAATAAAACGACGCAATATGCTACATGGCAACGAGAGGTCTAGGTCAGCAACGACACACCCCGCGTAGCAGCCTCATAGCGCGCACAGGCCATCGTTTTTAGAGCGCCACATGGCTTCCATACGTCAGTGCCGTACATGAAACTCGGCTACAACTACGTACGACTGCTTTCCCTCTCCGTTGCCACAATGGTCGACATTGCGATGCCGAGATCACCAGCTCGCCACGTGTCGCTAAACCAAGCTAAAAAAAAAAAAAAAAAGTCAACCTACTTTCCGTTCACACTATCCTGGTAACAAGACAACGTACGCAAACTATTACGCCCGAAACTACGACTAATTTCGGGACGCTACGGAAGACCTCAAAACCCACTCCCAACCCAGTGTCTGTTGGCAACGAGTGTTTCATTGATAACCAATTTGCGTCTTCTATACACTAGTAATGCGCATTGGGTCGAATTCTGTCAGATATATGCGTAGTCCCTTGCACGGTGAATGGCACTTGGTCAGGCGAGCAAATTAAAGCAAACAATGTATGTGACAACGCGTCTACATCATTGTCATCGCCCGAGGCAACGAAACGTCGGATGACACCCGCTCCGTCAGCTGAACGTCAGCTATCATTTACTTCCGGCAGCTAAGAAGTCAATTAGGCCTGTACGTTGGACGAAGCGCATAATACGCAATTGACATAAGCGATCGTCATTCAAGATACGCCGAGAAGAATGAGCACTTGTTTGTTTTTTTATGCCCAGTTTACCGAAAGACATAATGCCGGCCAGACTATGCGTTGGGTGAAGTGCACAGCTAGCATAAGACTGGTATGAGGTCTACCGAGAAAAATTCGGGCCTATTTATACTCGAAAACATGCTGGGAATGAGGATTGAGTAAGATTGGAAAAGGATGCCACATACCATCTTGAGTTTTTAGAGTTTTCTTCCAATGGATAGAACTTCGGTCGTATCACTATGGCGGATACGGGGAAAAAGGACTGGGAGATGGCAATGCTGGTGGCGAGGTTAACAACTATGTGGCCAGATTTTATTGTTGTGGCGCTGCTTGCGTGCCCTTAATTTTTAAGTAAGCGTCTAATATACCGCTTTACTTTTTAAAAATTTTATCTGCATCAGTTTAAAGTTAACTAAAACTTTCTTAGAGTCACATATGCCATTATGCATGGTCAATAATATCTTTGTCTACTGAAGTAAAAGCGGCCAGTGAGGCTGACTCGCTGGCCAAAATAAGAAAATGGTGGCGTCCGTTATGCAATAACGAAACTCGTGCTGCCGAAGTTGCTCTCTATTTTGGTACGCTGCATACCTTCAGATTCAGCAGTCCCTTAAATTGTGGGAGCCTTCTAAAATCTGCCCACGAATAGCGATTTCAGACGCTTCACTTGACTGCTTCTTTCTTCTGTGGGACGGCATCATAACTATGTCAAGTTTAAGAAGTTTATTTGGAGTTGCCGGCAGGTGCCTCAACGTGGTGTGAGTAGAGTTTCTTATGTTGCCAACGAGTTTTGCCCGACAATTTCCTCCGTTTCTTCTGTTTATGAAGTTCTCTTGGCCAGTTTGAAATGGCCTGCTCGAGATTTTCGTTTCTGATTAAGCGATGCGTTCTGCGCGTGATCGATGGCCCTGTTACGGATCCTAAACCAAAAGAATTCATGTTTGTCACAGGCTCATTTGAACCACAGGTGTCATGGAAAAAGTAAAGCAGCATAAATTTTCTGATATTTTTTTGTCCTCCAACTTCTGCTGTCGCTTTACAATCCGCAGAACAGTGACATTGAGTTAAAGGCATATTGCGTTTTGACCACTAATATTTTTGCAGTGCATGCATGTTCTTGCTGTTGCTTTCAGTTGTGGCAATGCGATGTACGAATCTCACACTTGTCTATCTAAAACTTCAATTTTCCAGATGCAGGGGCCTATCCGTGCAGCCCTGCCAACTGCTACAACCATTAACTGTATCAACAGAGTTTCAGCAAATGAGGACCCTGATGCACCGTTTTTTTCCACGTCCGAGCGAGCACAGGAGACTCGCCAAACATGGCTTCAAGAAACGCATCTCCACTAAGAGTGGAAGAAGAGTTCTTTTTCGTCGTATGCTTAAAGGAAGGCACGTCCTGTCCCATTAACACTCAATTTCACCATGCATTAAATCAATATAGTATTAGTCACCAATAAACTGTTTTGAACTATGTATCGTGGACTGGCCTGCACAGTACGAAATGTACTACAGTACTGTATGTATACTCGGTTTTTTTTTTTTTTTCAGCCTTATTTGCTCTTAGTGACGGAAGTGATAAAACATGTTCCGAAATAGTCCAGCACATTGTCGATGTGCAAATTGACTTGGTAGTTGGATGCAGCGTATACTTATGTTATGAAATCAGAAGCGAGCATGCATTTTGCTATTCTCTGAAAGTTGAAAAAGATGGTTGCTATAGACGGAAGTCAATATTTCAGACAGTTTATGCTTTCTCAGCTGTTGTCCCGATCGCAATGTAAACTTCTGGTGCAACTAAAGTACATTTCAGATCTTAATGACGTCTTCCCTACTGTGGAGTTTGTCAGTGCATTGTGATGATGGGATGTGCATACTATTAGCGCGCTGTAGAGAAGAATTATCAGCATTGAAAACTTCCAGTATTATGAATGTGTGAAAAGCTTCATTGCCTTAAAGCAAGGTCATGGAGTTCCAGTTAAAAAAAAAAAAACTTGAAAGAAAAGGCTTTGCCCAGGAAGATGTACACTTGTACTCTCTTGATCTCCAACTGTATTTGTACATGACCCAAAGTTAGATGACCTGTTGACCGAGACAGGACGGTTGGACAGACACAAGATACCTGGGCTAATTAGTGGCAATTCATTATGCAGGTCCCGGCACTTTTTAGAGCTGTTGCTCCTGCATAATGGCTGGACAGAGTTCTCATGTCTTAAGTAGCTGAAGCGCAAAAAGGTAACAACAGACTGAGGAAACAACGAGGACAATGGAACCAACAGCGCTTGTGCTTGTTGTTTCCTTAGTCTGTTACCTTTTTGTGCTTCAGCTGTTGGAAGATATGGAATACCAACTAGCCTAATCCCACACCTTGCTTCAGAGCTCTCAATGTTCTTGTCAGCATTATCTTGACTTTCCTTCAATTCTACTACTACTCAGTGAATCTCCCATTCGATTCCCTGTAATCTGCTTTTCGAGGCGTGCTTACAGGGACGAAAAGTTGTGGAGGGGCACATTTGTCTAACAGAATGGGAAAGGTGGGCGATTTAATAAAGCTTTGCAATATATTTAGAGCATGGACTGATCCCATCCCTAATTGGCTGTTAAGGTGCCTTCAAACTGTATGTGAGAGCACCTCGCTCTTTTCTTGGCTGACGAAATCAGCGGGACCAACATGGCTCTTGGACAATTTGAGCATTCCTGTGCTCTGTAGTGTGCTAGAATTAAACAGTAGTGACACTGCTGTGATTGTGGTCGAACCAAAAGTAAGCCAGAGCATTCAAAGATTACAAAAGGGGGAAAATGCAGAATGTTTCATGCGCACCGTTGCTTTCCGACTCTTTGTCAGTCCTCCCCCCTACAGCTTACAGCAAGATTGTTAGAGTGAAAGGAGAGAAAAAGCACTTGAAGTGTGTGACAAATCTCTACTATTCCACTCATATGGGATGGATTTGTAAAATTTCTATGCTGATCGATAGGAGAGGCAATAAATTCTATTAGCCAGGTCATTCGATGATTGCTAAAAAGAAGTGTTGCAGCACCCCTTTAAGACATGAAGGTCGTAACATAATTGAACGGTTGAAGTTAAACTGTAATCTTATTGACATGGGGGTCTTGAAGGGAATGAATGGCACACACCTGCGGCCTGCACAAGCACCAACCTAGCCTCCCTCCATGAAATCCCAAGCACGTCTCGCAAAACACCTGCGAAGAAACCAGAATTTGTACCACCCACATCCAAAACTGACGGGAGGGGAAGGCACTGCCTACAGGAAACTACACAGCAGTACTTTTGTACATGGCATCTTACTGCACGGTGTTGAACCGACGTTATGTAGCTATTAGCGGTGTCCCCGTAGCGGGAGGCAGAAAATAGCATCCTTTTTATCTCTTCCTCTTTCATTAACTCTCTCTCTCTATGCAGCTATGCCTGCCCACAACACCCTCGCACACCTTTTACTTTGATGCAAAGTATTACAACTTTACAGCCAGTAGTAACACATGCAGACCCAAACCTCCTCACTGAACTGTGGAAGGCTGTAATCTTCATGCTGAACCTGGTTGACCAGCCTCGACTGATTGCATGGTGAGTGTGTGCATATATATATATATATATAATACTATCGGGCCACAGAGGAACAAGGGGCAAATGTGAAGATTGTTTTATATATATATATATATATATATATATATATATATATATATATAATATGTTTCTCTCTATATATATAATATCCATATAATATAATATAATATCTCTGTTTCTCTATATATATCTCTGTGTCTGTTTCAGTTGTGGGCTGTCAGTGAAAATTACACTATACGCAGTACTATTCCTATGTGTGGCACAGTAACTAGGAACCCATTGCAGAGATTTTTTGGTGGCATTATCTATGGAGACTGTAGATCTTCACTATATTCAGCAAGGAAAGAGCCAGTCTTGCCATTACTCATGTCTAGTCAAGCCAAACACAGTTGCTCAATATATTAGGTTTGCACAATTTATAAGCAGACAGACAGCTGCAGGCATTTTTCAGGCGACGAAAAAAATCATGTATACATTGTCTCGTGCATGGTCTTCCAAGCCCATCTCATGCACAAGAACAGGTCTAGTTTCATGTAACCAAAGACTGTTTTCACAATGCCAGTGAAAGATTTCTGTGCCACCCATCAGGTGATGTCGATCTCAGAGAAGAACAAGAACTGAAGACAAAAACTAGTGCAAAAGCTTGGCACTTGCATACCTTAACACATATCTTTTATTTAGGTAGATGGACAGTAGACTTTGTACACATAATTAACTTAGTCTTCTAAGGTAATCTACCATAATCTTTCAGAAAACGACACTGATACAGAAAGCCTGAGAATAATAAGTTTGCATCAGTGTTTCCACATTTAAACCAAATCAATTTTACAGAGCCTTTGCACATTTACAATGAAAATCGTGTGCCAACCATTTCAATTCTCTTGCACTATGGTGAACAAGTTTGGAACAGATAGTCAGCATTTTTTGTTCGTGCACGTGCCCTGTGTGCTAGGTAGATGCCACTGTGCAAAGAATACTTGGCAGTCTTCGTTCACCTTTGGGTAGCATGAGCCTCTTGTCTCTTCATTAATTGAATGGTTGCGTACTGGTAGTGAGCCGGCAGTTAACACTGTTTGTAGGAAAGCGCATAACTGAATGCCATCACAAAAGAAAACCAGCCGATATCGTTTCTTTATCGCAAAGAGGGCAGGAGATGTTGAAGGCATTGCTTGCTCTGTAATCGCCAGCAAATGCGCATGAAAACCAATACGGTGGTTGCCATGACCAGATGCTGAATAGCAGGCGAGAATAGTTCGCACAAATTTGCACCGTACGAATTATTGTTTGGAGGCTCAAAACACTCTGCCAAAGATAGTTCTGCATCCATGTACACGTATGTCCCAAATGTGGAAAAGAGAGTGGCACAGAACAAAAAAAGTAATCCTTGTATTTCTCCGTATAATCAGTTCACAATACAGTCCTGTGTCTGTGTATTAAAAACACAACGGTTTTTAAAGCAATATTTGTACAGAGACCAGTAAAATAAATCAAGGCACTGGTTCGGCGAGGTATGCTGGCCTCCTCAGGAGTGAGAAGACGTGCTTTTTGGAGCTGGCTCAACGGCTTCTCGCGCGGCATAGCGTGTGCTATCAAACTGCCGCAGGTGGATCTGAAACAAGAAATTCCCAATGGAGGAGAGCTTTAGCTGATACAGAAAGGCAAGCACACAAAATGGAGGCAGTGCATGCCTGAGCACACGTGCATTATGTTACTGCTTTTGCTAGCAGTTCATTGTTAAAAGCTTGGAAAATGCTGACCAGTCAAAGATTAACAATATCTGATCTCATAAAATTGGGCAACACTAGTTATTTAAGAACACTCAACTGAATGTGAAATCCAGTGCAATGACCAGGCTCAACTGTACATTTAGAAAGCCATAAAAATTATGTTTAAAGTGGTACTGACACAAAAACTTTGGCCTCGCATTTTTCTGCTGCAATGCGTTGCTGGGGGCCTGTTAGGTCATGACAGTACATATTGTTTGCTGCAGCACCCAACATATAATTAATTACAGGCCCGTCATTATCAATCAGTCTCAGTTTCGGTTTGAGAGAGTTACAAAAACTGCGTGCAACTGTCGCCACCTAGTGTGTGCAGCTCTTGACCACGTCAGCACACAGAACTGTGACTAACTTCCGCACGGTCCACATCAAGAATTACTTTCGAATAGGAAACGAGACTGAAATGTCGCCAAACACAAAACTTTCTAAGCGTGCGCCTCGGCCACACACTCACAACCAGCCGCCGAGAAACACAAACTTCGGGAACTAACACTGCAAAAGAAAAATGGCGGCTTAGACGTCATCGTAACTTGTTTTGTTGACCGCGGCGTGGTGACGCGAGGGAAGTAGGCGGTCACCTCGGGGTCACCTCCGAGGGTGTCTATAGCGCTATGGAGTCTTTTACTCATGCAAACTTCAAGATTAATTTAAAGTACCTTCCAAGCTATATTCGCTATTGATATCTTGCAGATGACATACAAATGTTCACGAGACTTGACCCCACAGGCTATCTCGACCCTGAAATTTTGTGTCAGTACCCCTTTAACACGCAGCCGCACAGCTACCCTTGCTGTATGAGGAACATCAATAGTATCAAGTTCGTTTACAGTCTCATAATATATTCCTAAGCCAACACCATGCATCATAAGTAATTAAAAGGACACTGTTTCTCGACCATAGCCATACCTACGTGGCTCTAACAATAGCTGAAAGCACTGAAATTTCTGCCATGTCAAATAGCACCAGCCCTTACCGCTGGTCTTGCACAATGCAAGGAAAAACAGATATAAAATTATAGTCAGATTTTTGCCAATATATCTGCTGAGCAGATTATTGTCACGGTATAGAAACTTGATGTGCTCTGAAGGAAAATACGTACTTGCAGTAAATAC